TTATCCTACTAATGCTTGCACTAATGGTGCTAATATTTTCCACCGTCTAGATCATGATCCCGACGGTGCCGTTTGCTTTGCATGACCATTCCTCATGTTGGCTCATGGTTCCTTTGGGATATCTCAAGTCCCCGCTAGTCTCCCCCGTACTAGTTTCATATCTTTGTCCCGCTGGTAGTCCCGCCGGCGCATGTCCCATTTTTTGACTATTTTTATTTGGGCCTATTTAGTCTCCGACACCGTTCCGGATGACGTCCCATTTTTATTTTGGTACCTCCTTGTCCTTGTCAGTTCCAATATCCCCTCCTCAAGTGTCCTATGTATACCGATTATTCTCGGTCGTGAGATCCTCATCTCACGGTGGCCGTTTACCTTCTCCATTTGCCTCATGCCGAAGTCACTTTTTTCTAGCCTTTTGGGGTTACCATGGCTCATTTTCCCTTGGCCTAGGCATCCTTATGCAGTCCGTTATTTCTAACGGACTGCAACTGTGGCCATTTCCCTAGTCCCACAGCCCCACAACTTGCGCCTAACTGAAAGAAAGTGAAGTGCACGATTTTTAAGTGCATCCGAGCTCAATATTGGCTTCGGATGCACTTAAAATATGTGTTTTCCCTTCCCCATGCAGTTCGTTGTAAGTCGGACTGCAGTAGGGGTCAATTTCCTAGCCCCATTGCCCCACAACTAGCCCAAAACTGAAGTAAAATGAAACGGTGAACTTTCAAGTGAATCCAGGCTCAATATTGGCTCTGGATGCATCCAAAACATGTGTTTCTCTTCCCCTATGCAATCCGTTGCATCTCGGTTGCATGGGGCCTTGCTTTTTCTTGATTTTCTTTGCAAAATCAAGAGAAAACCAAGGTCCTGTGTAACCGCCATATTCCAGAATGTATCTGGTCACGGATGTATTTCCCCAAGTGACCATTTTTTACCGTTAAGGTTTTTTTCTCTTTTCTTTTCTCTTCTTTTCCTTCCCTTTTTGGACAGTAGGGACCTGCCAGTCCCTACTTGTGGTAGTCCCTACTGACGGCGAACGCACCCACTCCCTCTCACTCCTTTTGTTTTATTCTCCCACCTTTTTCTTTTCTTTTTCTTTCTTTTTCTAGCATGCCAAGTGTCAAGCAGCATAAAAGGCTTTTTCTAGGCCCTTCCTCATAGTTTTGGCCCTCCCTATGCCCGTGATGCAGTCCGAGATGTGCAGTCCGTTACATCTTGGACTGCAATTGTGGCTCCCTCGTGCCTATGGGAGCCTCCCTTTACCCCTATTTCTCCCATACAGTGGCCCCTCATACTCCCATTTTCTCCTAGAGGCCTATTTTTCACATGGAATCTCTTTTGACTCCATTCTCTTGACGGAGGCTGATCCGATATTTCTTTGGATTGCTCCCATGCCTCCTCCGCCATGTTTCTTTACTTTTTCTTTTCCTTTTGGTCTCCCCGTTTGCTCCCACTCGTCTTGGTCGTCAAGATCTCGATCTTGACGATGCATTTTGCTTTAATTATTTTTCCCTCATGCCACTCCACAGTTTCTCTTGAGACCTTCTCATGTCCCCGCCACTTGTCCCGTGCCAGTCCTTGGTACTTCTTCCGCCTGGTGGTCTTCGACACTTTGTCCCGTCGGTGGTCCTGACACTTTGTCCCGGCGGTGGTCTTCGACAGTGTGCCTCGTCGGTGGTTCCGACACTTTGTCCCATTGGTGGTCCCCGACACTTTGTTCCGTCGGTGGTCCTCGACACTTTGTCCCGTTGGTGGTCCTTGACGCTTTGTCCTGTCGATGGTCCCCAACACTTTGTCCCGTCGGTGGTCCCCGACACTTTGTCCCACCGGTGGTCCCCGACACTTTGTCTCGTCGGTGGTCGCCGACACTTTGGCCCGCGGCGACCAGGGCTGTCGACCTTTCGGCTTCACTATTCTCTCGTCATCTGCCCCGCCCTGCTTGCTCAGTTCATGGCCCCTCGGGTCCTTGCCATGCCGAAATCGAATGGCCCTCCTGGCCCCATGCTATGCCCCTATGCGCCCATGTCCTGTCACTCACGTGCTTGCCCTTGCCGGGTCCTTCACCCTGTGGTACATAGCCCAGGGCATCATTCCTTTCTGCGGTCCCGTTCTAGTCCTTTGTCTTTTCTCTCTCTCTTGTCTCCTTTCTCCCGATTTCTCTGCGTGCACAACTTGGCTATATACCGGCTCTCAAGTGTCGGGACGATATTCGGGATCTACAGGTCCCGACACCAGTATAGGTGAAAACGGCTTCATTCCAATGAATTATCATATTAAACAGTTTCAGAGTTCCGGTCACCGTATCCAAGGTAGGTGATTCTCTCTCTCTGTTCCTCTCTTCTTCTTCTTTTTCTTCTTCTTCTTCTTCTCTCTTTTTTTCTCTCTCTCTTTCTCTCTCTCTCTCTCTCTCTCTCTCTCTCTCTCTCTCTCTCTCTCTCTCTCTCTCTCTCTCTCTCTCTCTCTCTCTCTCATGCATGTGTCCCCTCTCTCACCCTCTGCGTGGAGATCTTGACTCTGGATACGTTCGCTACTGTTCAGCTCTACGTCCTACTACTAAGCTGTGTGGCTATGGCCGCCTTCCTCTCACAGAGCAGCGCTGCCCTGCCAAGGCTCTAGCTCATGCTGCTCGCAGATAGCGCACAAGCGCTCAGCAGCACTTCCACACTTCTCACGAATGAGCAATCTGTTCGAAATGAGCCTGGCCAGTCCCTATATTGACTTGGACTGAGCCTTCAGTCTTCCCAGCCTCTGCTTCTTTTGGTTTGACTTGGACCCGGTACCGGCTGCCCACGACCTGTTTGCTTCAGAATGTTGAGGCCCGGTACCTCCCTGAGTTTGTGCTGCTGCTTTTGGGCCTGTGGGACGTGACCTTTTATTCGGTGTCGGGACTTGGGGCTTTCGACCCTGAAATTCGAATTTGAGGTCTGGATCCTGAAATTCCTTTTCAGTTCTCTCTCGGGTGTGGTGTGAACTCTCGTATGAATACTCTCTTCTTGCATGTTGTGAGTTGGGTTGAATTGGTGAGGTTCATTGCGTTCATTTCATAATCCAGATACCCAAGATAATGATCATGCCAAAATCCGCATTATGGATGGACCAGTTTCTGAATACACCGATGCAAAGACAAAGTTTATGATCAAGATTGAGATTGACACTAGAATACCACCACCCCAAAAACACCAGCAAAAAAGGATCACACAGAAAGCTGTGCAGCACAAGTCCTTGATTGTTACAAGAACAGCGAGAGAGCAAGAAAAGGAATAGGAGCAGGACAAGTAATCTACGTGTTTGGGTGAGTTGGGTTTTCATCACGAGGAGTTCCATCAGGCATTGCAGACCCCACATCCTTTTGTCCAAGGGTGAATGAGGTTTCCCATAATGATGTGGCCAATGCCAGCCGACCAAGTGGGAAAGGAGTCTTGCAGAATGTTTTCACACCCTTGAGGTGAATTTGGGTTGGTAGCCTGCTACTGCCGACTCTGTAAAAGGTGAGCAAGGCTGCCCTCAACTGTTAGCGGCAGAGGAGGTAAGGAGGTATGACATTGCAGCACAAGAGGAAGACGAGATGGAGGATGGATTTGGAGAACAGCTGCCGAGTCAGGCAGGTATTGGCAACAGATGTACTAGGGAGTAGGTGTTGTTTTGAAATGTGTTCTCTACCTTATGCTGGACTCTATATGTGTGCATGTTCAGTGGATATGACCTTTTTGGTTGCGGTGTTCTGTTGAAACATTTGGTTTTCCTCTGTTTGTGTTTCTCGTCTCCACCCTGGTAAAGCTAAATCACAAAGAGGGTGGATTCGGCATGGCCCTACAACGCACGAGATAACCAGGCCAGCCACCACCTGCAACAAGGAGGCCAGATTCTGCTTGCTCATTGTTAAGATTTACGAAAATGGAAAGAAAATATCATACTTGTGGTGCATCGACGTGCGCTGCACCGCGCACACGCGCCGCACTGCGCACAGCGCACGGGGTGCGGCGCACCCCGAAAATAAGGGGTCGAGGGAAAAAAAAGAAGTTGGGGAGGGGTGTTTTAGACCCGAGTGGGATGTCGCGTCATAAACCACAAAAAAATATTGACAAAAATTTGAGGCCGCGTGGGGCCTCCAAAAAAAAAAGGGGGGAAGTTTGTTTTTTTGTTTGTGTGTGTGTGTGTGTTGTTTTTGTTTGTGTGTGTGTTCGTGTGTGTGTGTGTGTGTGTGTGTGTGTGTGTGTGTGTGTGTGTGTGTGAGAGAGAGAGAGAGAGAGAGAGAGAGA